AAAAACATCCGTTGATCAAAATCGAAATGTTTGATGCTTGTACAAGTTATTACAAGTAATTCCTTCAAACACTTGAAATTCGATTTTTTATTTGGCGTAATTATACTACTATATTTGGTTGATAATTTGATATTTTAGACAGATGACCCTTGTAGACTTACGCGTCAATTATAAGTTGGACTTGAAAGAATGATCTGATCATTTCGATAAGGATTGATAAGGTTAAACGCTTCTTAAATAGTACATCGATAGTCTATCATTTATCCTTTTAACGCGTATTGTTATATAAAATCATGGTACAAGTAATCTATCGAATTACGCGTTAATATGTCTAAATAAGTTTAAGTGTAAATGGAATCAGATGAAAGTGATTTTAGATGGAAAACTTAAACAAAATAAAAGGAATCATTGCCATAAATTAATTTGTTTAAAAGGATACAAGTACAAACATGAATAGTTTTCTCTGAGTTGACCAAGCACAAAAGGGTAGTTACATTTGAGGCTCATTTCCAAGAAGGGAGTTCTTTTGTTCTTAAATAAGTAAAAAGAATTCGGAGTTGTTTTCGCGATACCTTGATTATATTTTTGATTACTAAAATGAAATAAATAAAACCCAATCCCTCTTTTCTAAATTCGGTTAACTTTAGTGTGATTGGTCCTTTTTAATCGTTGAACTTATTAACCTAAAGAGAAAAAATATCAGTTTCAATAACGCGTTTTTTGAAACACATTTGAAAATCGTGGAAAAAATGATTCTTATTCTAAATCGTCTATAAATAGAAAAAAAATAACTTGTCCGCATGTGCGACGTAGTTTATTGGTCCCTAAACTTAAATTGAAATTCCAAAGATTGCACTTTTATGAATGAATCGTAGAAGTGGTGTTTGTTTTAAAATTTTGTGTTCATATAAACAAATAGCCCATTAGAATGCGAATGAATTGCAACAACTCATTGTCAAATTCGAATATTATATACCCGTACAATAAAAAAACGAACAATTTAACGAAAAAAAATTCAAAGTGTACAAAGTTACGTACATATTTATTATTTATTTATTTAGAAGGAAAGAAGGAAAAAAAAACAAAATTAAAAGGTTCAATTATTTATATATAAAAATTGGGAGAAAAAAAATTTTTTTTAAATTATTTATTTATGTTACAATATATTAAAAGTAGTATTAAAATAAGTATTGTACACACTTAAATGTCAAGATTTTCTATTAAAGCAATTTTCAAATTTGAATATCATTGAATGAGTAAGGGTGAATGGACGCGATTGCTTTGTAACCTTAAATGACGTATAATCACATTTATACAATGCCATATAACGCGAAGACTCGGGGAGTAAACAATATCTGTGTATTTTATATTGTCCACTTTTGTCTTAATGATTCCCATATGGAAATTAAAAGTTTCGGCAAAATTTTAAATTAAGCGACGTCGCGAATGCCGAATATATGACAATGACATCATTCACGTGACAATAAAATTCTAAATCTAGGCATGCCCCAAAAAATGTGATCTTGTACCATTACATACTAGTATTTGTTCTTTTTTTTCCCTGCAATTTTTTTTATTTTTAAGGAAACAAAAAAAATAATGAATACAAGGCTTATAATTGTTTATATTCCCAAAAAAATAAAAATAAAAAATAAAAAAAAAACCTGCGGTGTCACGTAGATTGTGATACATGGATTGGCCTTCGGACCTCCGATTCATTTAAAAATTTAAAATCGTTAATGAATCATGTGATTATGCACCATAGCGCGTTTCCTTTCAAAAAATTATCATCAATTCAATCACTGTTGAATTTAAATTCATTTTTCATTTTTTCGCGATATGATAACATTTCCTTGAAAAATCGTTTTTTTTTCTTGGTTTAATTGGTTAAATTTCATGCAGGGAATTTTCGTTGTGCAAATTATTTTGCGCAATCAACGGTATCACTTAAAGTCCTTTTAGATCATTTTTTTTTTGTAAAAAAAGAAATATTTAAATTTCCAAAATAAGCAATAAACATTGTCATCCTTTAATTGGCCGATAATCATAGACATAAAAATATTTTTTCCCCGTCATTTAAAGGAAACATATGGAAATTGTTTTTACTAAAGAAAAGAAAAACCTTAAACCTGCATTTGAAGGGGTCATTTAAAGATTTCATTGAAATAAGATTTTGTTTCACCGACCATTCATATTTTGTGCCTTATTACAATGATGTGCTGCGCACAATGAAGGGACTGCATCACGTCCAATAACCTTTGCATTTTGCACCAGGTTTATATATATCATAATTCTAACATTGGCGTACCTAACCCCCCGTTTAGTTTCCCAATTAATCACATCAATGATAATTTTCAAATTAATAATGCACAGCATCTATCTTTCGTTCTTTTTATCCTTGCATAAAAAAATTTTTATTTCTTTACGGGAATACCCACAATGGAAATAAATTAATTTTTTAGGGAAACAGGGAATATCCGTTCTGGCTTACAAATTGTCGTGATATTATTAGGTAATTAGTGGATGTATTGCATCAACGCAGGCTTTCGGGTACTTTTCGGATATTCTTTCATTTGTCACAAACTTATCCTTCAAAAAATAAAAATAAAAAAAAAATATGATGTGAAAAATGAAATGAAATGCTTATCAATGTTCATCACACATTACGATCTCCTTTCAATAAAGGAACGATTAACCTTTTGATAATTTGATTTCCGGAGATCAATGTCACTCTAATCAAAATTTATATGGGAGAAAAGACATTTCCTTGAATGATCTTCGATTCTTGGAGCAATCAGGGAGTTAAAAAAAATTGGAATATATCACGTTACATTAAGAAAAAAAATGATTGGTCCGCGAATTACATAATAAATTACATTATTTTTAGAACTTTAATCATACGCATTGTTGTTATTTATTTGTTACTTAATTATGTCTTACCGTTTATATCTTTGAATTAATGCAAATAAAGTCATCTTTCCGTTATGAAGGATCAAATGAAATCGATTCTTTTGCGAAGATCTTTGGATTTCTATCGTAAAAGAATTCTTTGGCCATTTCTTGTCTAACCTTATGATAATCACCAGATTATTGGTTGAGAATACCACATAATAACCTAGTATTGATGTTATTACCACGATTATGATTCCGTCTCAAATAAAGAAATTATCTTCTATTTTGCATTAAGGCTCAGTTAAGGGTAGAAATCTATGATTGTATTCATTTACTTGCTTTTTTTTAATATTCATCTGCATAAAATACAATTCAAATTTCTAAAAATTGGCAACTCTTCCAAAAACAAAACGTTTATTAATATGCGCGGGGATTCTTAATTGAGTGATTCCGGATTTACAGCGTATTGAAGATTACCTTGATCCTCATTAACTTTATCGCCTAATAATTGACTCAATTCGTTATTTATCAAGTGCTTGACGGTTACGTAAATGAAATTTTCATGATTTCAGATATTGATGCACGAAACTTTAATTTAAATTATTATTGTAAATGTGCCGACTTCCATATCAGTTAAACCTAAAAAATCTCTGTGTATGCGTAATGTAGATGCATCATGTATGCGCGAAATGTTCGCAATATCATTCATTGATTTGATTTTTTAAAAAAAAATACGATAAAATAAAGTGTATGGAATTAAATAAATTCAATTCTCTGCAAAATAATCAAAGATTTCTTCACTGTAATACATACAAGAGGCTAACAAATACCAACATTTCTTTTATATTTAAGCTCATCACAAGAAAGTAATGTAATACATATATCACTTTTATGATATGGTGAATGTAAAAATTATTTTTGTTTTTTTTTTTTTTTATTATTATTATTATTATTGTTATTATTATTAATTATTGTTTTCTTTTATACTTCATTAAATAATTTTAATGTTAAAATTATAATCCTAGAAATTTCTAAAGGTAAAGAAATATCCAAAAATAAATTTCTACTTTCAAAACCATTTGTCCGAAAAATAAAAAATTAAAAACAATAATACTTAAAAAATCATTAAAAAAAAAAAACAAAATCATAAATTAAAATATATATATAAAGAAATCTGTATCGTAAAAACTTGTTAATCAATCTTAGACCCATAGAAGAAATTAATTAAACTTATTTGTATGTCATATAATAAAAAAAAAATTAGAAGATAATTACACTATAATATAAAAAGTAATATAAATAAATAGTAAATTGAAATGTGAAACCAAAATTCAAATCATAAAGACGTGAATGAACACATTTACGGGAAAAAATAACATTGTTACAAATTCCAATGTTTTCCCGCCATTACGAAAATCTTCGGAAAAAAAAAAAAATGGTTTGTGTTTGTTGTTTATATATGTACATCTGACTGTTATGATATGGAAATTACAATTATATTAAACAATAAGAAATTACACTAAAAACGTAAAATACCGCCATATACCAAGTACCAAATAAAAAAATTTTTTCCCGCGAAAATCAGGTCTTTTTAATTCACCAAAAAAGTGTTCATTCAACAAAAAAAAAACCAATTTTCTTTCCAAGTTAGTCCTTTTTTGCAATACCAAACAATCTGGTAAATAGATAAAATGATTAGTTAGTATGTCAAAACCAACAAACAATACATAATCACGATCAAATTCATCTCGGATTGGTGATCACTTATAACTTAAATGTTTAAGATATTTTTCAAATGTTTATACATATTATTATATTATATATATTACATTTATTACATACCTTAGTAATCTTTTGTTTCGCTTAAAGAAACAAAAAATTTTTGGGATGATTGATTGATTACGAAATTATTTATCAATCTAAAAAAAAAATTATTTCGCGAAAAAAATTTTTTTTATATAGAATTTTTGTTGTTTTTGTTTTTTTTTTTTTTTTTTTTTTTTTGTTAAAAAAAAAGTTAAAAAAATTATTTTGCCAGAATTTATATTTATTTAAAGATGATAACGAATAAACGAAAAAAAAAAAACGAGAATGATAAAATATTTTTTTTATATATTACCACCCCACCCCCACTGAGCTTGCTGTGAAGACCTCCGCATTGGGGTATGACGATGATGATTGTGATGGAGCTGATGGTGGTGATGTGAACCTAATTCCCCCGATTGAGTTTCTCCATTGCTTTGACTTTCGATTAACATAGAAACCGAATTTTCAGAAGTTGAAATGACTCCATTTGTATTAACACCACCGTTATTTCCCATCAATGGTGCAAGTTCGGTTGACATCATCTCATTTCCGGATACAAAATTTCCGCCAATTCCGATCGTTGACGGAGGGCTAGTGGAATTGGATGCCAAATAATATTGCCTTGGCTGTGATGAATGTTGCAGTTGTTGCTGCTGAGATGTTGAAAATTGTGAAAATGACATTGAAGGAAATGGAAATTGAATTTGCGATGACGTAACCGCCGCCGTATTGGTATTTGCTGTCGCAGGCAAGAGTGGCGGTAATGATGAATTTGGTGGTGTCATCGCCACGGTTCTGTTGATGGACAAGGGGGAAGACGTGGGAACCGAACTATTATTCATCGCCATCATTGTCTGAGATTCATTCCCGATCGGAGATATAGTGGTCTGCTGTTGAACATTTGGATGTGGTTGGGTTTGAATTGGTTGTAAATGATTGGTTTGTTGCCATTGATAATTATTATAATTGGATCCCCAAGTTGATGGTATATTTGAGGCGTTTTCATGTGGTCTCGTTTGGTTGGAATGCTGATGAATGTACTGAGTTGAAGAATAATTCATCTCCGAATTTAATGAATTTAGTGCCGGATTGTTCGATTCATGTTTGGCCATGACGGGGGGAAGATCTATCGATGAAATTTGTGACGAAGTTGTAAAAATTGATTGTGTTTGTTGCGTTTGACTCATTTGTTGCGTTTGTAATAATCCAGGTCCTTGATTTATTGAAGAGACGGGGCTGTATTGAGGTGATCTGGTAGTAGTTGTGCGCGCGAATGAATTGATTCCAGGTGGCGAATTTTGGACTGGCTGTTGAATTAAACGGAATGTTTTAAATCCTGAATTCTTTGTTGAAAGATCTTGTTCTTTATTGCTTACATTATAGTTATTGTTAGTGTTCCTCGACTCCTCGATTGAAGTCGTTGATGAAACGGGACTTCCGGTTGTGGAACTACTTCCAACGCTTCCAGATACCGAAGTCATTGTGACCTTTGCATTATTCATGATATGCTCATCAACATCTGAAGCTCCTCCTAATTGTGACTCAAATATCGCTATCAGATTCTTAATATTGCTATGAATGTAATATAGGGAAGGAATATTCAGAACATTTTCGAAAAGTTTTATCGTCGCAAGAATATTTAATTTGGATTCCTTGGCAAGTAGCGGATCTTTTAGGTTAAATACGTGAATGAAACCTGCATATAATGCACAATGAGCAATGAATTGTTTACTATTAATCATGTAAACAAAATGTTCATTCACATATGATGTAATGCTATTGGCGGCACGAGTACAAGCCGCCGAACTGAGTGGGGATAATATGTTTGGATGATGAATCCTAATTATTGCGTAATTATAAAGGATGCAAAGATAAATGCGAAGATGTTCAATGGTCGTTTCATTGTAAGAAGTATCAAGTTTCTTGACTCCTTCGATCTTTAAGAAGGAAGGTAATTCCCTCTTCCATGTATCTAATCTTTCTTGTAATATATCGAAATCTTCTTCATTATCACTCAAAGTAAATTCAAGTATATCGTACATAATCTTGGTGATCGTCAAATAGTGTCCAAAATATTCTATAATTTTGCATTCTGTTTCATCATCACCCATAGTTTGATTTGGATGTTCGATTGTACAATGTTTATCTTCAAATGCCAACATTCTGTTCAATGAAATGCATTGTAAATGATTTGCTATCGAAATACCCCACCACAACTTAAAGTACAAATAAAGGAATTAATTAGTAAATAATTTCCCAAAATATAAACATTAAGCCTTTTTAAACAGGAAAAAAAAAAGAAAAAAAAAAGCCTTTCTTCCTCTTTTATAGAATTTAAGAATACAACAAATAATTACCCTCTTTCTTGCTTCACTTTCATGGTTAGGTAAGGTTTCTGGGAATGCATTTTTATCATGAAGCCGCATTGTAATAGCCAAAGTGGTTGCCATACCAACATATATACGGCTTTTTAAGCTACGTAAAGCATCGAATATACCCAACAGGAAGAGCGCTGTAGCAGTACTAAGACGAGGCGAATCAAAATAATGATTGACCATTTCTACATAAAAAAAAATTATACATATATATTTTATTTATTTACAATAAATTTATGCTTTAAAAGAATATTATTATTATTATATGTATGTTACTACACAGTTTTACAGTATTAAATTTCAAACCAAACCATTTTGATTACCTTGCCCCTTAATAACCCCTTTTTTTCTTTATTAAATTCCCTTTTTTTTATGTAAATAATTTATACTGATTATAATAAAAAAAATTGTTTTACCTTGAGCACCTTCATAGAAAGCCAAGCCAACTGTATGTGGGTTATCCCGATCCTTTCTCGCAGCAGGATTATTAGAATAACTTGATCCAATAGCACATACAGCATATAATAAAAGCGGAGGCATAGATTTACTTTTATCCTGAAATCTTCTTATAAAGTAAGCTTTATGTAATACAGGCAAAAGTGGATGACAATTCTTGAAGTATAAATCAACTAAATGTTCAGTAAGTTGAGTATCTTCTAATAATGCATGACTGGTTTGTGGGTACGGGGATGATTTTTCAACTTGGGAAGTTTGAACATAAGGGCTAAGTTGCTGTCGTACTTGACTTTCATTTTGTAGAGTGACCGACGCAAATAATTTGACCGCGTATTCAAATTCATTTCTTTTTGCATCCATAGCAGGTAAAACTTGAGGGATAATTCTTTGAGGGCGATTTGCATTAATTGATCTTTTTGTATTTGGTTTAATATTTTGATTAGAACCTACTTTTCGTTGACGATTCGTAGAAGTTGCTGAGATGCTTGGTGCTACCGTAACCATATCAACATTATTGGTCATGGTATTAGTTAATTTTGATCGTATAGGATTTCGACCAGTTTGTCGAGATGTTGTAGAAATGGCCTTAGAATGGTTGGATTGATTGCTGACACCGGATGTGCGTCCTGATTTTTGGCCATAAGTACATTCCAATTTAACCGAAACACAATACTTGCATGGTGTTTGATTATAACCGTCACCATCGCATTTAACCTAAAAGAATTAAATTTTTTATAGAGTAATATAATAATAAAATTAAGGAAAAAAATATCTTTGTACGCAAAGAACTTTTCAGAGCTTTCTCGTAAAAATAATTATTTTAAAAGCGAAAAATAAAATTCGTGTTTTTTTTAAAAAAATAACCTTGCGTCTTCTACACCTATCACACGCGATAGTCTTTAATCTTTTATCTCGTATTGGAGTATCCGCTGACCCAGGCGTTGGTCTCTTCCCCCCAGAAGGAGCTGTAGTTGTAGACATTTTAAAGCTATTTTACGTGTAGCGAAACAAGACACGGGTTGGAACGAGTCTAAGCGTTTCTCCTTTTATTGTCTTTTTTTCTTTTTTTCCAAGCAAAAGAGCAAAAAAATTTTTTTGGTCTTTAACTGGTTAAAAAAAGAGGAAAGAAAAAAAATTTAAGAAAAATGATATAAAACAGGATAATAACTTGAAAATTATCCAGTATTAACGTTCTTTTTTTTTTTTAGTTGTATTGTATTGTTTTTTTTTTATTTATTAATAATATTCTAAGGATTAAATAAAGAATTGAGTTGATTTATAATTATTTTTTGTTTTGCAAGAAAGTAGGCGCAGTTATTATAAAATGATTTTTATATATATATATAGATATATATATATATATACAACACTCATATATTATCGAAAAATTGGATACAAGAACCAAAAAAAAAAGAATTTAAAATGGTGTGGTATATTTATATAATTTTTTTTATTTTAACGCGTGTATGACATTTTTTTTAAAATAAATATATAATATAAAAAAAATTGAAACACTTGTGTTACATTTTTATTATTTTTTTTTTTATATACACATAAATTACTTTATATAAAATAAATCAAATCAAAGTTAAATTGTATGGAATTTTTGCATTTTTCCTTTTTTTTTATCGGTCCTTTGACAAACAAATTTAAAAAAGAATCAACCTAAAAATTCTGATTTGCCGCCAAAAATGGTACGTAATTTTACAGATTTTTTTTTTTTTAAAGAAAAAAAATAAAACTATTAGATTATTAACATATTATAGTGACACTATATATATCTCTCTCTCATTTTAAAACCTGCATAAAATCGAAATCTTCAGGTATTGTCTATAAAAACTTTTATATCATATATTCAATGCATAACATTGTAAAAGTGGTTGTTCAAAAAAAAGAATTTTGTCGCGGCTATCCTTACCAGGCTACTTCATGCGTGATTTAGAAAGCTCTGTCATAATTGATTTCATTTTTTTAACCACATTAAAAAAATCATTACTATTTTAATGTTTCAAAGAAATATAGATTATTTTTTAAAATAAATAAAAGTTCCATCATGTAAATCATATGACTTTAAATTTTGTCATGGGAGAAAGTTTTTTGTGGCTAAAATCATGCCGTGCAAATATCACAACTTGGAACTTTAAAAAGCCTTTATAAAAATAGCCCTGGATATTTAAGGGTGCATGATTATATAAAATATCCTCGTTTATTTTGAATTGACCTAGGTAATAAACGTGACCAAAATCATGACCATATGAAATTTCACATGCATCGAATGATTGGTTCGAAAAAGTAAAAATCTCTGACATTTAAATAAATCTGCAAATAGATGCATTGAAATGGTTAATGTTTCTCTTCGATATATTCGGACATATAGAAATATTTTTTCAGCCATGTATGAACAAGGAGCTCCTTTGTGTTTTTTTTTTTTCGTTTTTCTTCGTTGTTTTTTTTATCTTGCGACTTCTCAATAGACAATTTTTGAAAATTGTCGTTGTTAGCACTCACTTTTTTTTTATTTTTTTTTCAAGACCATGCATTCAATTAATTTGATTTATTAAAGTGATAGCTTTACCACTTAATAAAAATATTCTTTTAATTGGTATTCGAGCTTATGTTACAAGGAACAAGACAATGATTCATGTCTTCGGATTTTACGTGAACTTAAATGTTTTGAATTAACAATGTGTGAAAGGTCTCCAATCAACTCCTTTATTACTATGGCTACCCCACATCAGGGTACAAAGTTCGCAGGATAATATTTTTTTTTCTATTAATTTTTTTTTTTAACAAACAAATGTTTAAACATTAAAATATCCAAAAAATTTATTTACCTTTACCTATCAAAAAAAACGTAAGACCAAAACAATGCAGATAATTACAGCTTTAATATTTTTTGGTACCAAGGTTCATTCCACAAAGTCAAAATTCGAGAACAAATAAGAATGGGAATCACAAATCTTGATATTTACTTTTACAATTAATTAAATTTATCGTCTTTATTTATTTATTTATTTATGTTTTTGAAAAAATTATCCGAACTTTTTATATATATAAATTCTGTTTATTAAAAATTATTAAAAAAAAGAGCGGGAGAGAAAAATGAATTATTATTTTTGCCGGTATATTATCGGTTAATTACATTACAAAAAGGCTTTTATTTAATGCATGCGCTTTGTCTTTTTTCATGAAGATGTCATAAATTTGACATATTCCAAAGGATGTTATGGGTAAATCTTTCAAATTTGTGAATCGACGTTTGTAATGCACACATACAACCGCTAAAATAATAGACCAATATTCTCTTTGGTACTTCTCGAATTTATGATGGAGAACCATTTAGAATTATAAGATTAGCACTGTTTATCAAATATAGAAATTATATCTTATTAACAATGCAAAAATATCATCATCCTTTAATATTTGTTTATATATATTGAATAACGATACACAAAATTAAAGAATGGTTGCACGAATTGCTCATTGTCTTTTGAGTATTTATTGCGATCTGCTTATTCATCTCCTACCTGGTGACACAATAACTTGAACAATAAAAAAATCTTTCTAATGTTAACCTAGTTCTTGAAGTAATAATCTGTCAACCTACTCATTATTTATAAAGTAAGTTTTAACTCATCATAATGAAAATCCCTGCATAAAAATAAAAAAAGGTTGTGTTATGAAAAAACCATGCGAAGATCTTAAAATACCAATAAGTTTCGTTTAGGTTACAATGTAAACGTTAAAACATGCACAAAATTACTAAAAGGTAGAACAGGGTGAGAATTAAAGGTTGAATAACCAATAATACATTTAGTAAGAAAAATTTTCAATCATTAAACCTCAAATGTAAGAAAGGACCCAGTTTAATGAATAGATTGACCACGTTATGCAATGCCAAAACATCATGCACTAATATGATATCCATTTCAATGTTTATATCAGAAATTAATTACCATGTCATTCGTGCATGATTCCATTCCAGAATCATATAATAATAATTTCGGAACCTCGGACATGTTTTGCATTTGTATGGTGAAATGTCTAGATTATTCCGCCATTAAAATTCAATTCGTCCCTTCTAGAAAGGGAACAAGTATAATTTCGGATTAGTTATACGCCATCTCAAGTCATTTGATGACATTCATGTCTATTCAGATAATATGAATATAAAGGTATTGTTGTTTATTTGATATTTACACCATTCCAAGCCATAATTAATAATCATGATAAGAAAAGGTGTCAAATACAAATGCCATTTTTAGTAAATTTCGGAAGTAACAACCACGAAAAATGTCCCTTGATTAACATTAATAAAAAACCCTTAGTCATGTTTATTATGACTCTCTGTCTGGTTTCTTGTATTTCATCATTACAGGTTCTGAAACGACCTAAAAATAAAAATGTAAAATGATGTAAATAGGTTTCTGACTTAGGTGCAACGACAACAGGAGAAACAGTAAATGGTTTGTATCACACTTATATATACGTTTGGAGAGTATTATTAATCTTTAACAAAATATTTTAGTATTAAACAAAATTCTCTTCAAAAATAAAGATTACTGCGTTCAAATTGTGACTTTCAAAAATGATTGGTTCATCATTTGATACACACTATGAATTTAGAAGTAAAGAATTGACTAAATTAAACAACGTGTTTTTTACAAAATAAAAATGGGCTCCGAAAAATGAACACTTGACAAACCATAAAACGTAATATTTAGAATATCACCTTCCCGTTATCATCGTTATCATTTAATTTATCTCCGTTCCGATTTCATTGCTCTTAATAATCATAAATATGTAAAAAAAAAAAAAAAAAAAACGCGTCAAGCTTACTATTGTTTACTCATTTTAATTAGCCCTTTTAACCAAATAAACAAATTAAGCCTGTATTATAATAGGAAAATATCGTAGCTTTGAAAAACATTACATGATTCCTATTTTTTTTTTAGGACACGCGTATAAAAATAGATTAACATAGATTTGTGGATTATGAATAAAAATATCGTAGTTCCTTCCTAAATAAATCAAGTTTCGTGATGCAAACAATTTCACTTTATTGAGGTATCTTGCAAAAATAAAGGTGACCCGATTTTTTTTATAAAGTTTATTTTAATTAATTTAACATTATTTAAACTTATGTGTAGAACCAATCATGCTAAATTAACTATGATATAATATTATGCTTACGATTGTTTTATTTTTGTTTATTTTCTAAAAGTAGGTTCATTCATCTTGCCGATATAATTGGTACTTTTAATAAATCTATAACTTAATTGTAATACAAAAAAGTTTATTTTCGCGGAAAAAGCTTAAATTATTCCGTGTGAAAATATTTAAAATCATTAAATCATCTCTCTGTTAAGTGATGATCATTCCCGTTTGCAAAACTGCGCCAATAACAAACAAAATGTTGCGCAGATCAGTTTTACATATTGTTCACCATTTGGCGGAAAATTAAATTTATTTTTAAAGGAGAAATTTTCTAATCTATTTTAGTAAAAAAATTTTTTTTTTGTTCCTTGTTTTACTTTTACGGAAGAAGTGGTAAAGTGTGGAGTGATTTATAAAAAATATCTTTTGGTCTTCTGACCGATTTCTATGAAAATCATTTATTTTTCTATTATGGTAAATTTTTCATGTAGCCCGGAACGAAATCTTCAAAAACTTTTTGATGTATATATAAAGTGATGTGGTTTAAGGAGTGTCAAATTTTGGAGTACGGAGCTTTATTTATTTATATTTTTGATTATCTGACATTGATCAATATCTATTATAATTATTAATACATTTTAATAATTTTCGAGAGGTCAATTTTTAGCGACAGTGTGAAAATTTGTTTAAAAAAAAAGTTTGCACGACTTTAAACGGTCAAATTGTTGGATCAACTTTTTAACTCCATTATTCCTTTAATTAGAAATTGTTAATAAGGTGTGATAAAGATATTCCATTTTTTTAAGATAGGTCCTTCGCATGTG